ATTTTAGTAAATCGTTTACCGATAAACGTCTTTGTATTTAATTTGTTATAACAATATAAAAATAATTACTTTATTATTAATTATTAGTTGCGTTAAATAAGATTTTCTTGGCCTACATTAGTATTAAATTTTTTCCCGCTTCGTTACATGAGTGCCCTCTATTGTACTGCAAAGCAATTCTGTTCAGTAGTTCCGCTAACATTCTGTCACAAACCTTCATTAGAAAGCAATATGCGTATGATGTGATAATATTAACGAGTGATGGCGCTAGGTATTCCATTATGGTATAAATTATACAAAATTCAAAAGGTAACTATTTCAACTCAAGTAAATAAACTTTACAACTAATTACATGAAAATATTTACCATACATGAAAAATACTAACTTAATTAAAAAAAATTAATCAAGTTATTATCAGATATTAACAGTGGCGTATACAATGAAAGGGACAAAAGGGGGTAAATCTACCCAGATTGTATTTAAATATTACAAAAACACTAGAAATGATATTGCAGTTGGACAGAATTTGATAATACCTCATCAATTTTTATTACTATACAGAAATTGCATTTCATGATTACGAATTCGTACCTTATCCTGATTAATTCTTGTTCTCTATCTTCCAATGTATCGTCCTTTTTTATGTTATAATCGCAAATGTCGATATTTATGGATCCAATTTCTTGATCTAGTTTTTTGTTGTCTGCCTTGAAGGCTTTGATTTTCTTCTGAATTTTTTCCACTTTTTCTTTTCTGTCGTTGAGCATTTTTTCGTAGGATTGAGTTAGTCTCTCCAATTCTTCTTCAAAAGACAGCGAACCCTCGGGGGTGTATCCTCTGGCCATCGCTTTTAAATAACCCTGCATATCCTTGGTTACCTATTGTGGTAATTATTTATCGATTACATTGGGAAAGTCACTAGGATTTTAAGGAAAAAGTTTCGATTAATATATGCATCTCAAAGTTCAGACCTAATCCTAAAAATTGTTTGAAAAACGTTTTGATTTAATTTGATATTAATTGGTTATATTCATGCGTTTTAAAGCATTGACATCAGTGACGGCAATAGTTAGAGACCAAGAGTTGGACTTTAGCTCTACATTTATTCATATTGTCAATAGTCGGCCATTTTTATTGCTCCACTATGACGTAGCGTCGGCCATCATTCTTTTCTAATTGTTGCTGTCGTCGGCCATCATTCTTTTCTAATTGTTGCTATTGTCGGCCATCATTCTTTTTCAATTGTTGTCGCATTGTCACTGATGTCGGCCATTACGGTTTTTTAATAGATGTATAGTAATCAATGATTAAAATGTAAAGGAATTGTTTGTAAATAGGTACACAACACATCGTACACTTCAGCATAAGAAAGTGCTGATACTAACTTTCATTTACATACTACTTAGCCTTGTGCTGACAGCACTCATAATTTCTTTTATATATAATATTTACGAGACAGACGGCTTTACTGAAAATTTGTCCAACTAAAAATTATAAGGCGTAATGTTTTATCTTCAATTAAATTATTCTTTTTATATAAGGTGTTCAAAGAAAAGAAAAATTCTGTTTATATAACCGACAATCGTTTTGTTTTTTTAAAGTTTGCTTAACTGAATACTTTAAACAATTAAAACAAAATAAAACAACTGAGGAGCAAACAAGTGGATTATAACCAGAATTATGGGATAATAAAGGAAATAGTTTAAACTAGGCAAGACTACCCCATACTGTACAATATTTGTGAAAAATCTTACCGTAACGCCCTCGATATCTTTTATATGTTCTTTATAATCAGCAACGGTCATTCTTAGCCTGGTGTGTTCCCATTCCAACATAAGAATGGCCCTATGATGGGCCATATTGGCTCTCATTGCTCTCAGTTTTCTTCTACCGTTTTTCTGAAATTCATAAACATACATAAGGCGTTTTTAATGTACTGTAGAAATTAAAAACAGTTCCACACTCCTTTGTATTGAATGTGATGTAATTTTAGAGATTTTTGACAATTTAGGAAAAAAATCAGTCAATTAGAGTAGACATGAGTATTTCTCAGTTTCGTAGTTCAGGATAAAGAAATTGTGCTCTTTATTTTAATTAGGAAGATGCGGTAGATGTATTAAGACAATTTTGATGTTTCTATTTTCTAAAGCCTTATTAATTATCAGGATAAAAATATACAAGACACAAGGGAATCTCAATTTAATCAAGGACCATTGAAAAAGGGTTCATAAAGTTGGATGACACAGGATGTTATTTTACCAACAATTTTACAGGTTTTACACTTACAAAAAGAGCACACAAATTACGAGAAAAAGTTTTGCAGAATTGTATTTTCAGTTCAATTGTTTTACATTGTTACTGTTAACCTAAGCACGTGTTTTATCGTTTTAATGGGTTCATCCAGCAGTAGTTAATATTATTGTGTTAGGTACTTACCAGAATTATACGATTTACGAATTCTATTTCCTTTTTTGGTATTAAAATCGCGTTTTCGAAATCGCTCGCCGATCCAGTCAAAGGCAGTTCCACTATGCCTTCATTGACAACCAACAAAATTTCGTTATTGTGAACGTTCTCCAGTTTATCCGCTCGAATTTTATCTATATCCGCCCTCAACTTTCTGGTGTATTCCCTTTTTTGTTCCAGTAGCTTTTTGTAAACATGCAAAGTGTTTTCCGCTTCTGCTACATCTAGAGCATTGGCTCTTGCCTACATATACGTAGAATTACTGACACAATACCAAAATGAAACACAGGAAATGTAAAAATTTTAATATTGCAACTTTTTACTTTTGGTTCAACTAATTGATGGTCATTGACAAAATTGCTGATACTGCAAACAATGTGATGCAAAGCTGGAGGGTACGATGGAAGGTCCCCTTCAGCTTCCTAGTAAAGGCCGTGGGAAAGGGTGGCGGATGGTTGGGTTATTATTATTTGCCTAACAGTAACCTAAGTAATCCGTAGAAACCGCAGAAAAATTTGGATCGGGGTAGACGGACCCGGACTTGAACCAGAGTCCTCCCGAATGCTTAGTAGTGGTCGTGGTCTAACTTCTTAGGCCACACTGCTTGGTCTATTACCAGCTACTAACGCTGGAGGGGGAGCGATCTCTCCGGAATATGCCGTGGGATAGAACGGAAGATCTTCTTTACCTTCCTCTTTGGAATCATGGTGTTGGTGGGGAGAGAGAGATAAGACGGATAAAATTAAGGGAAGTAAAGGATTATCATCTGCTTAAGAAGTCCATGGAAACTACAGAACTGGGATCAGTGCAGATAGACCCGAAATCGAACCGGTGTCCTATTGAAAGCTATTTAAAGAATAGAATATCTTAATAAATTTTACCCTGAGCTCATTTTCTATTTTATATCTTCGATGCTGGCATATTTTGGCATACGTTAGTTCATCAATTGCCGTGGGAATTCCGACATACATGTCGATGGCGTCCAACGCTTTTAGGAATTCCACTGCGTCTGGACAGAGACTTATGAGGAGGGAACGCTGGTTAGTTGAAACGCAACGTGCCAATTCTATCACGATCGTAGACGAAGTTATGTTACGAATATTAGTCTTTGGACGTCTCCTAAAGTGAACACATAATTATTGCCTGCTCAAAATTTTTTCTAAATTTCTTCTACACTTACTTCATTTGTTTGTTAGCTTGCTCGTTAACAACAGGGGTTGCGTTTTGAAAGTCCTTTTTAAAATTCTTCTCCAAAATTTTATCTCTTGCATTGATATTCTCGATTTCACCACGACATTCTTGGAGATTTTCGTAAATCACTGGGATGAACCTCAAAACTTCATCCAATTCTCTGTCATTTTCTTGAGTCTGCTTGCTGAATAAAATTATTAAATTAATTTATAAATTAAGTTAGAAGTTTAAAATAGGAAGAAGGTAAATGAATCTTTACAAGACATTAGCTTCCTCCTCATTGAGAAGAAGCTTCCTTGCTGATCTTTTCCGTATCATGTCGACTTTGAGCCTTTCCTGAAGGATGGCAGATTCTACTTTCAGTTTCACTAATAGGAAGTCATCCAGTCGTCCATTAAATTTACGAACGCCCTCCCTTAAAGTATTGCACAGTTTCCCGTACTCATTTTCCAGTAACAGTTTGTAATATTCTCGATCAGAATTCAGTTGCTTCACCTTTTCTTCATAGTCTCTTACAGCACGAAGATCATCTTCATTGTATTCTTCAGGTTCTTTTTCAATCTAAAGGCGATTGACAAGAAAGAAATTAATTAATTTTTTTGACATCGATAGAGGTTTGTATTATTTAGATTGATTGTTGCTTACCATGCATTTGGGCTTGGGAACGTCTTTCTTTATTTCATCTTCCCATCTCATTTCCAATACACCGTTCATCATTTTCATCAGAGCTCTTTCCCTAAAGTCATCGGCAAGAAGTGCCAGTCGAATGCGTTCTTCCTCTGCTGCCTTCGCATCTAAAAATGCCTGTTCACTCGGTGAAATGTATGGTGTTATCGGGACCTAGAATGAATGATTGATTGCTATCCATCAAAACAATTTTTGGCTAGATATGAAGAAAGGACACCTCATGATCTGCAACGGTGACAATTTTCTCTGGTTGCTCCGTCGGTTTCCATTCCGGATCGAT